AAGAACCAGCTACAGGAGCTGGCGCAGCGTAGCTGCTTCAATCTGCCGTCGTATACGTGCATCAGAGAAGGTCCCGATCACGCTCCGCGCTTCAAGGCTACCGTCAATTTTAACGGCGAGACGTTTGAGAGCCCCAACTACTGCTCCACCCTCCGCCAGGCTGAGCACTCCGCAGCTGAGGTGGCGCTCAATGACCTTTCCACCCGTGGTCCCACCAACTCTCTTGCCGCCAGGATTCTTGTAAGTGTTTTTGCTGTTTGCTTTTGTTTTACATTTTTGTGAAGTTAATTTTTGATTTGCATCATTTGGGATTGTTTATGTGAATTTGTTGAGAAATATACTAGGAAAGAAGAATGATAGAATAACCTTCGGAAGCTTCTCTGTTTCTAGTATTTGGTATTGTGCCTTTCTCGTAAAAATAATAGGTCAAGCTGCATTCTTTAGATGAACTTTCTAAAAATTAAGTTTCTATAGGGAAATGAAGCCGCCTCTAGCATCAAGATCTTCCTGTTCTGTTAGTGGTATGTGGGCTATGATTCTGGATGAGCTTTTATCTTTTAGCAATAATTTTCAATGGTCGCGTTCTGTTAGGGTTTGTTTTGCTGCTAAAGTAAATAGCTCAAGTAAGGGAAGGAAGTATATTATCTGAAGGATTCACTACAAATATTTTTGTGAGCATGACGGATAATTTAAACTATCCGTGACTTTTGCTACTGTGGAATTGGTCTAGTTGATTTAATTTTAGCAGATTATTACAAATTCATGAAAATTTTCAATTACTCTATTTTGCTTTGCAATAGAGCATAAGGATGCCGGTTATTTTCTTACATGTCATGCTTAGCTGCTTTACACGGTAAATATGTCATTAATAGTGTTCCCTACATCAGGAGATAGGATCAAGTAATAAAATGCATCCGTTGCAGATACAGATTGGTTCAAACTTGAATTTTAAAGAAATTAAGACGAGCTAAGCTCGTTGTAAATGACTAGAGCAAGTCTGGGCCAATTACTGCTTGTGTGGTTTCAGAACATGAAATAGGAAGACAATGGTGTAACTTTAACTTTTTGTTCCTGTATTTATGATATATTATGTCTTACATCTCATGCTTAGCTGATTTACTCGGTGAGCATGTCTTTAATATTGTACCCCACGTTAGGTGATAAGATCAAATGATATAATGCTTTCCGTTGCAGACACAGGTTAGGTCGAACTTTAGATTTAAAGAAATTAAGCCAAGCCAAGCTTGATGATAAATTAACTCGAGCTTGTCTCCGCCAGTTTCTGCTTGTGTCGTTTCAGAAGATTAAATAATGAAAAAGGTGTAGCTTTAATGTTAGTTACGTTTATGTTCTATATTTTTACATTTCTAATATGCAAATATAACATGTTCATCAACTTCTTACCAAATTTTTATTGTGTCCAACATGAAAATCACCTTGGTGGATAGGATCAACTATGTGTGCGTTTGGAATTCCTAGGACCACATGATGTGGCATATGAGAGATTTAACGTATTTAATTTATTTTTTTTCATTGTAAATTTTATGGTAAAACAATTCAAATGTGAAGCTTGACAGGTAGCACAGTTTTTCTCTTTTATTATTTTGTATTTGTAAGCATGCATTAATGACTTGAGCCTGGATGGCTGTGCGTGGTAGCGAGATATTGGGAAAACATGCTAGATTTATTTTACTTATTTGACTTAATTCCTCATCCAAGCTTGAGCATCATTCATAGCCAAGCTCCATTGACCACTTAATCCTTGTAACTCCATAGCCAAACTTCAATGTTCTGTCCACTCCTTTTGAGCACTCGTTGGAATTACTACTTATCCACCTGTGGAGCATGAACACGAGAGTGGGTAGGTAAATTGAGAACTTGGAGCATGTAGGGCCTTTATACTTCTCAGTCAAACGAGTAAATTATTTATTCTATGGAATATAAATATAGAAGGTAGTAAAGTACGTTGCATTTTGAAAACATAACTGTTGAACTGAGTGTGCTGAAAATGATTTATTCATATGAAAATTTTGGGGTTTCAATGGGATGTGATATCTGTAATACATTATAATGATGATCATCAGAGATTCTAATTAGCATGACTTGCTATCCCATGCATTAGTACTGTTAATGATAATGATCAATGATGGTAGCGATTTGATCTTAGCCTCTATTTGAGCCACATTAAAATTTTCGTTCTCATTCTTCTACTCATTTTCAACCACACATTCTTCAATAAAATAATATTTTCCATCACATCAATAACTTTTCTTTCTTTTTCAACGCCACATTCTCGATCAATCTACTATTCCAAAATACATTCTTCCAAAATAATGTGGTTGACTATCTAAATGCCAAGCGAAGTTCTGTGGATGCCCATTGTCGCTGAGGCTGAACTTAGAGAAATCTTTGAGGCTAGTTTGAAAAGAGATTGGCGAGGAAGGAAATAACAAAAAGGAAGGTAAACAATGGATGATTAATATTCAGAAGTACGCATGATGTACATGTCATCTGTACAAAAATAATCTACTATGTATATGAACATCATGGAGTCTTCTCACTCCAATGCTTAGTACATATATTTCTTTGTCAGCCTGAACAAGTTGATGTCTGCAACTTAAGGCTGTCATGCCATATTTGTGAACCCCATGTGCAGTCTTTATCTCTTAATTTTTTTTTTGGCATTTCTTATTTCTTATGGATTGCTCTCTGATGCTGTTGCTCTTCTGGACCTTGTGATATACAGGATGAGACGGGTGTTTATAAGAATCTCTTGCAGGAGGTCTCGCAAAGAGTGGGATCATCTTTGCCTGCATATACGACTTTCAGATCAGGCCTAGGCCACTTTCCTGTCTTTACAGGTACTGTAGAACTGGCAGGCGTTACATTTACTGGTGAGCCAGCTAAGAATAAGAAGCAAGCAGAAAAGAATGCAGCAATGTCAGCTTGGTTATCTCTGAAATCATGTAAGATATCCAAATCCGCGTTAACCTGCTTTTAGTTGTATCAGTTTTGTGGAATTTATGTTCTTCCATGGAAGAAAGGATATGTAAACTAGATGCATTGATTTTAATATTTATGCACTGTGTATGTCCAGCAAGTAGACTATATAACCGAAGAATTTCGAGGCATTATTGAAGAATGGGAAGGAAAAAACACCATATTCTATACTATTTTCCTGAAATAATTTAGAAGTCAGCTTATATATTGTTAGATAAAGACGTATATAATGTTCTCATTTTCCTTCTTCATCCTCTCTCGCTCTTTTCCCCAACTGATGACTCAATACCTAGTAGAACTATAAAAAGGGCTGTCCAAACGGGGTTTGGATTTTATTAATGATGCAGCAGTGATTTTAGAGTGTTTTCTGTGGCATGTTAGGCACAATGGTGGATGTCATCAATATTTGGGAGGGGTAGGGCAGTGAATGTTGGATGAGCATGCTTGTGAGAGTGGGGAAAACTTACAACTTAGATTTTTTTATTCATCAATTGGTACTGCAATACAATCCATTCCATGGCCTATTAAGAAATCTACAAGTCAATCAGGGCAATCGAGTATTCAGAAATGACTAAGAGGAACCAAAACCTAAACCAACTCACGTTTGCAGTTTCTGTAGTAAACATTCAGTTAAAATGAGAAGGTGAGTATCGCCTGTTTCAAAATCACCAGTGTATTTTCAATGTTTTACCTAACATATTATCTAACTGAACCTTTTTTGCATTTAATTAGGAGTCAGCTAGATGATTTTTTTTTATATAGATTACAGGCTGATTAAGTTCTAATACTAGTGAGAATCATATAAAATTATGCCACTGTTTGACAACCATTCTTTCAACACTCTTTTCTTATACTAATTTTCAACCATACATTCTCACAATAAAATATATTCTTCACGACCGATCAAAAAATAAAATATTCTTCACGTTAAATCAAAAAAAAGTTTCCTACTTTTTAACCACACGATCTTCAAAAATTTACTATTGAAAAATTCATTCTTCCCAAAAAAATGACCGTCAAACAGGTGCTTAAATCTTTTGCAACCACATTAAACCATGTTAATTTCCATCTTCATCTTCCTCTTCTGACATGTTCCATTAGGATCACTTTGCTCTTGTGAATGCAAGTTTCTTTAGGCCTAACATAACATGTCCCAATCAACTAAGTTATTCTTCCTGTAAACTTACTCTCAATTGGTACCACCTTTGCTTGTTGCCCCATGATCATGGTTATTTTGTGCAGTTTAGTATGACCACACATTCATCTTTAACGTCCTCATTTCTGGTACATTTATCTAATGGACGATGTCTTTCAGTGGTCCAAGACTCAATACAAACCATACTGTTTTGATAAGCATTTCATAGAACTTGCCTTCTTATTTTCTCAGTTAGCTTCCAATCAAATTGGATATCTTTATCACTTCTCCACTTCGGTAATTGTGATTTAGCCTTATGCTTTAAATTATGCCCATGTTTGTCTACCATTATTCCAAAAAATTGTTTGCTACAGTAAGATTCTCTACCACACATTCACCCAATAAAATATTCTACACACAAACCAATAAAATTACTTTAAAGTTCAACCACACATTCTCCATAAAATACTATTCATTACTCTATTTTTCTCCCAATAATGGGAGACAAATACATCCTATGTTAAAATCATCTCTTCTTACTGTAATTGAATTTACATTAACAATAACTTCTTTGGACAACATGATCCTGTTTTGTGAATATTCAATCGATCTTATTTCTTCTACGACTGATAGTTTTACTCAACTAAAACCTTTAAATTTCGAAGTGCTCTTCCAACTTTGAATATCATATGCTATGACTATGAGATCTCATCTTGTACATATCTTATAAGCTCATCCATGAATAGAACAAAACTGTACAGACTGAAATGGGGAAATCTCTAGTGCTATCCGTACCGGATTTCACTATCATTATTGCTCCTTGTCTCCATGACAATAATTTTGAATCATATTGATGTGTCCTATATAAACAAGAAAGAGAAAAAAAGGAGTTTTAACTGATCCCCTTCAGCAATTTATGGTATATTATTTTCTCTTTTAGTTTTCATTTGTGCCGAAGCAGAAGTTACTATGTGTGATATTTTTCACCTTTTTGTCTTTCAGTAGTGCAACAATTTGAGAGTTCGTCATCAGAAAAGGCACAAAAGGATGAGCTGGAGCATGTGACAGCAGCCCGTGCTTTGCAAAAGTATCTCATGAAGGCAAAATTGGCGAAGTTTTCTTTTCCAATAAAATTTCTTACACCAAATCCAAGGCCATCTAGACCACAGCATTCTCCGCCTTCATCGTCAAAGATTCTTCCCTTCATATGCCCAAAACCCGGTCCTTGTAATAGGCCTATTTCAACAATAAACAGCAATGCAGCGTCCCTGAAGATTGCTAAGACAACTCAAAGCAAACCGGTATTCATTACCACAAAAGAGAGCCCCCCATCATTGGTGGAGAAGGATAAGGTCCAACCTCTGAAGTTCCAAGCTGCTAGAGCAGCAGCCTACTTTCCAGTGCGGCATTGTAGCCCACACCACAGAATTGCACCACCAGTGACAATACGAAATGCAATTCCGGTTTTCTCTACACCACCACTTCCTCCACCTCAATCTTCAGTAGTGATGAGGCCCCAAGGCATGGCACCACCTGTCTGCATAAGACAGGCTGTTCCAGTATTTACTGCTCCTCCTGTTCGGGTAGAAGAGCTACCAGTTAACAATCCAACTGTTCAAGGAGAAAATCCGCAAATTTCTAGACAAATAATTCATAAGGATCCATCAGCTACTAAATTTTCACTAGTTCGAGCAGAGGAGCCACCAGTTTCTATAGCAACACCAGGTAGACTTGAGGACTCACATTTTTTAATCTTACTTTTGTTTCGAGTTTAGGAACTTCTTGGTTCTAATTACTGCCTGTTTTTATAGGGAATCATGCAGATTTTGAAGTTCCATCAGTTCATGTTGAGCACCCGATGTTTGAGGCCCCAGCCATTCAAGTTGAGTCACCAGTCTCTTTGGTTACTAATATACCAACCAGTTCAGAAGCATCCGCAGACGAGCCAATGATAGCAGCACTGGAAAAGCTACCGGAGTTTAAAGTGATTGAAGACTTTGAAGAGCTAGAAATATGATTTAGTAGGGGATGTTTTGAATTGCAAAACCTTTTGCGCACTGTCTTCTTTTGATTGTGAATTATGTAGGTTTTGATTCTCTTCTTTTTGTTTTCTCCTGTTCATTTTCTTTGTTACTTTTTATGAGGTAATCTTATGTGATGCTGAAGCTCCAGGCAGCTTCACCTCAATAGTTTTAATTTCTATTTTTTGTGTAGACATAGTATTTGCAGTATTTTTTATCACAAGCTTAATCTAGAGGTTAATGCTATTCATCACGCCAGTGTAGTTGACTGTGGTCATCTTAATTTATTGTTCAATGGATGGATTGGGTAGTGCGGGTGATGATCAACAACGGATAACATATTATATTCTCAAAGTTATGGTTCAACTATTACATTATTAAATTAAATTGGATTTGAAATGCCCCTTCAAGATACCGAAAGAATATTAGGAAAACAATAGATGCGACATCAAGAGATACTGTAAATGAATCGATAAATGAATAATCTCGTTTAAATAATAAAATTCTTTGATTTCGACTTGGGTTATTGTACTAAATTAGCCCATGTTTGCCCCTATTATTTGAACTCTTAATGGTTGAAATAGTGTCCTTTTTTTATTTTTTTGAAAAATGTGGTTAAAAAAAAAAAAGAAAAAGTTTTGGGATTACGTGTAATATTATTTTATTGAAAACTATATAGTTAATAGGATTAGAGATAAAAATGAAATATTTTTAAGGAAAATTTACAAAAATGTCAAGTTCCATGTTAGTCAATTGAAATATGTCTGATTTTGATAATCATTGCAAAAATGGCCAAATTTGATATCAAAATATCTATTATACCAACTTTTCTTGTTTGGTTTGCTAAAGATTAAGATGTTATTTGTACAATTTTGACATTTGCTCTTGGTTTTTTGATATGCTAAGCACCGAAATTGTATTTGTGAATTTTCGAAATCTGTTGTTAGATCTTCTTTTAATCTTGGTCGACATTAGTTTTTGGTGTGTTCTTGTCATATAACAGATTGTTGTAGTTGTGGATGTAGGAGTAAAAAACGTTTCGTATGCTTTAAGGTGGATTTCACTCACTGATTTTACTGACTGGAACTTTGAGGGAAAAATCGTAACACTGATGTTGGTTAATGTATTCGGCAGAACACAATGCCGGGAAAGAACTCCGGAGTTTGCCAATTAATGAACTAATAAAACACGAAATCATATAATTCAGCATAATGAAAATAGTGTTTAGAAATTGGGGGTTCTTTTAAAATTGGCCAAGTCAATGGGGGCCAAATTCAACTTTGACTTTTCCACTATTGAATATTACATAATTGGCCTAATGGTGTTCAAAAGACAAAAATACCCTTAAGTGAATAAAACAATTACAAAATATGGTTTTATTAAAAAGATAATACTACCCTTTTACTTAACAAATAAAAACCAAACACGCCCTACATAAAATTACAAATTCAATTCAAACATAGATAAAAACTCTCATCTTATTTACTCTGAAAATCTAAAAAATATCGATAGTAGAAGGAAAATATTATTTTCTGTCAATTACTACGAA